ATACATTAAATAAAATTGCCTTTTCATTATTTTTGTTTATATCTTTTGGCTTCATTTTAATGGTTTGATGCTTAGTGTTATTGTACGAGAAAAATAAATCTTGTAAAATATCGAACCATTTGTAACTGCCTTGTAAACTAAATTGCATCCACATTTTGTTTTTTAAGGTACGATTAAAGCGTTCACAAATCGAAGCTTTTAAGTTACTAAATGTAGAATACATATTTATTTTATACTGTTTCATGAGATTTTTAAAATTAATATTGTAGAATTCTTTTCCTTGATCCACATGTAGGTTTTTCGGCACCCGACCTCGGTCCAGCACTGACTTCATTGCAGTTGAAATATCTTCACCAGATTTATTCTTCACAGGAACAGCCGAGGCGAACTTAGAAAAATGATCAATGATCGTTAAGATGTATTTGTAGTTTCTATTTTTCTTTGCATAATATGTTAGCATATCCACGAGGTCGGCTTGCCAAGTGTCATCGATAGCTCGTATGTCAACTTTTCGCCTAGCATAATTTCTTCTAGCTGGTTTATGTAATTCTCTAACTAGAGCTTGCTTTTCTTCATTCATATTTTACAATCAAATTTTTTTTATTTTATTCAAGTGCACTTAGTCGTTTGTCTAACTGAGTAAGGATCTCTTTATTAAGCGCCAACCACTCTATATTTCTCTCAATACTTATTTATAGATTCTGTAAATATTTGTTTATAGAATCTTCTAGCTTTGTTATTTTTATATTATTGTTAAGTATATCAGATCTCATTGATCCTAATATCTCATAAAAATCGTTGACTTCATTGTTCACTATTTTTTTCACAAGGCTCAAGTTAGTTGCATCACCTCCATTTAAAGCTTCTGCAACATTACACAATTTTTTATTTTCAACATTAAAATGTCCTTCTTCTGTAAATTTAAAGCCAACTCCAGGAGGCCCACGAATAGAATTCTCAATTTTTTTAAAAGAACGTCCAAATACGTCGAGAGACATTATTCAACTGATCGGTTTTTAAAGTAATCAACATTAATAAATAATGTTTGCTTCTCGTAATTCTTCAATGATTGATAAAATTTCGTTTGTGTGGCTTGGATTTCCTGCTGTTTGAGACGCTAATAGTAAACGTAGTCTGTCCACTAATTCATTTGGATCATCCCAATATATATAGTCCATTTGATTTTTTTGTTTAGCAAGCATAAACTCAAGTAATGCACCTCCACGAGAAGAAATTTCTTTTTTATGATCATTGTTTATTGTAGGTGAAAATAATTTGCATATGAATCGTTTAAATTTAAACGATTTACTTTGACGAATGTCACTATTAGCTTTATATTTCTTTTTATGTGCGTTTGTCAAAACAAGTATTTTTTTTAAATTTTCCAGATCTTTAGCATAGATCAAAGATTCATCTGGAATTTTTTTAAAGAGCAGTTCAAGTAATCCTTTCCTACTAGAAAACGTTGAATTTGCCACATTTATATAGTTTTCATTAAAACTTATTGGAGAATTACCAAACTTTAATTTGCTATTAGCTAATTTTCGTACACCACATATATTATCGATTTCTTTACTATTTGTATTTAACAATTTAAGATACACTTTTGTTTCGTTATCTAATGATGGTAAAAAAGAAGAATGTGATTCTTCCTTTTCATAATCTACTGATTTGAAGGATTCTTCATTTATATTGTCATCATCACCATTATTATTATTATCAGTATCATCATAATCATCATCATCATCATTATCATCACTATAATCATCACCATCATTTTTATCACTATAAGTCTTAAATTTTTCCAGTTTATCAGTTTTAACATTCTCCTTTTTATTACTATCTTTTTTAAGTATTTGAAAATCACTAACAAGTTTTTCTAAAGGATTAATAATGGGTTTGAAAGTATCACCTAACGTTTGTTCAAAGTTTTCTTTATCTAACTTTAACATCTTATGTTTTCGTCGAATTGCATCACTGGCTTTTGCTAAATTCCACGCAATATCTTTTTGTTTTTGAATTTGTTCAATTCTTGAAGATGACATCTTAATTAAACCAAGTATAAACCAACTAAACTTAGAGGCTCAGTGGAAATCATTTTAAGCTTCAGCAACTTTTATAAAACAATCAAACCCTTTTCTGTATCTACCATGATTAAGGTCACTATCTTTGTCAAAAACAACGAAACCGTATTTGTCACTATTCCAACAAGAAGAACATAATTCTTTAAATTTTGAATATATCATATCTGTATTAACATGATCGTTATATATGTGTTTAAGGTTTAAGTCATCCTGTCTGAAAATTATCAAAAAATTTACATTATCTCGAATTAAATGCTTTGGAATCCGTGTATACGTTTGACATAAATAAAAACAATCAATAAGTCTATGACGACCCATTGAAAAAAATTCTCGAATTCTATTTTGCTTATCGCAGGCTACATCATCAAAGACAATTGTAGAATTTGATTTTGCTTTGTTTGGTTCAATAACCTCTTCATGCTCTTGAAATGGAAAATATTCAATACCATCCACTAAGTCAAGAGTTTTCTCCAAAAATTTATATTTTGGTTGACTTAATGATTTTGAGAAAATGTAGACATTTTCAAAACGTAGTCCATTTGGATGTATTAGTAGAGCAAGTAAGGCATTTGTTTTGCCACAGTTTGATGGACCACAAAAAATTGCTCTTACCGTATTAGGTAACAGATTTCCATGACGTTTTTTGTTAGATTTTTGTTGTGTTACTGTATCAAAATCTAACACAGGTAATTCTGTTGATTGTTTATTGAACTCCATCTTTTGATTCACACTGAGGTTGAAAAGTATAAATGCAAGACTTTTTTAGATTATTTTGTAGGTCTGTTTATTTATAGAATTTTGTGCAATTCAGAAAGGTTAAATATTTAGAGTAAACTGGTTAAGAAAGTATAAACACACGGCTTTTATACATTTTTACATCAGTCTTAAAAAGATACTTTGTGTAGAAATATAAAAGTATGCTTGTCAAGAAAAAAACTGTCAGTTCTAAAAAATCTATCAAACGTGGTAGAGGTCTCTTAAATCAAATTATCAACAAGTTACCTGTTGAATTACACATACCTGGTTATCAATACTGTGGACCTGGAACAAACTTAGCAAAACGATTGGCACGTGGTGATCCTGGAATTAATCCTCTTGATCAAGCTTGTAGAGAACACGATATTGCGTATTCTCAAAATAAAGATAACCTTGAAAATAGACACGTTGCAGATAAGATACTCGCGGAAAAAGCTTGGAATCGTGTACGTGCTAGTGACGCAAAACTTGGTGAAAAAGCTGCAGCTTGGGCAGTTACTAACGCAATAAAAATAAAAACTAAATTAGGAATGGGTCTTAAATCGAAAATGAAAAAGAAGAAAAACAAAAAGGCCACATTTCCATTAAGAAATATTGTTTTAGCGGCAAAAAAATTTATCACACCTAGCAATGATACATCTTCTGCTATAAAGTCAGCTCTAAAAGGTGCACGTATAGCTGTGAAAGTAGCAGGTGGAAAATGCAAAGTGAAACAACCTCGAATTTTACCCATACCAAAAAAAATTAATGGTTTTTTACCATTTCTTATACCACTCTTTGCTAGCCTTAGTGCAATAGGGGCTCTATCTGGTGGAGCAGCTGGAATAGCAAAAGCAGCTAAAAATCAACTGGAAGAAAGTCAACGTCATAACAGAGCCATGGAATCTCTAGCTGTAGGAAAAGGTCTCTCTATCTTAAGCCATATAAACAAGGATTAGGATTAGCATGTGCTGTGGAAAAAAGGAAAAAAAAGCCCAAAAAATTGTAAAATTACCAAATCGAGCGTTAACTAATTATGATATACTGAAATACGCTAAAATCGTTAAAATTCCACACTTTCGTGGTGTTTTTATGCGTGATGAATTACCAGTTTCAGGACCTTATAAATTTGAGTCAGCTGTAGTAAATTTAGATAGTAAATATAATGCTGGTACTCATTGGGTAGCTTATAGAAAGATGAACAATAATATTGTATATTTTGATAGTTTTGCTAATCTTCAACCACCTACGGATCTTGTTAATTATTTCGGTGTTAAAATTATTAAATACAATCACAAAAGTTATTAAAATTTTAATACCTTTGTGTGTGGTCATTTGTGTTTAAAATTTCTTTTAAATAAACTCAAGGATAAAAGTATGTTTACTCTTTAAAAGTAATGACATGGAAACATTGAGTTTAGTATAAATTAAACTAGCAATATGAACAATTCATTAACATTTACCTTGTCAGGTAAATCATCTATATTGGAGACACAATATTTTCCACCAATTGAATTGTTGCCTTAAAAAAATTATGTACTTGGTCTTGTTGAATTTCTTACATTTAATTCAATTCCAAATATAGATACCTATTGGACACAATAAGTTTTATGTTGATCAAGAAGAAATAACTATACCAACTGGTAGATATGAAATTGGTGATATACAGCGCTATTTACAAAGTGTTTTAAAACCCAAAGAAATTGAAATTTATATTAAACCAAATAACAATACCTTACGTAGTGAGATTTTGTGCAATCGTGAAATTAATTTTCAAAAAAGTGATTCAATAGCTTACTTATTAGGATTTGACCCTCAAATTCTTGAAGCTGATAAACTTGTCCAATCTAATTTAGCAGTGTCTATTATAAAAGTTAATGCATTACGTGTTGAATGTAATATTACAACCGGTGCATATATAAATAATCAAAAGGTTCACACAATTCATAAATTTTTTCCAACTGTTCCACCAGGATATAAAATAGTGGAAGTACCTTCTCATGTCATTTACCTGCCTATCGCAGTCAAGAGCATTGATCAAATTTAATTAAGAATTGTTGATTAAGACGGAAATCTTGTACATTTTCAAAGTGAAACAATTACCATTAGATTGCATATGAAATCAATATAAATGGGTATTGACTTTAATCGAAGAATAGGTTACGGTTATAAAAAGCCAGAATGTGTAAAAAGAGTCAGTTACGAAACTACGACCAAGAGGCTAACACCTCAAAACATTCAACTATTGAAGAATTTGGGCCTGAAAGTAATCGAGAAGGAACAAAGAAGAAGATAACAAGAGTAAAAGTTGTTTGCATCTGTTTTGTGGTTTTTCTCTTTAAAAAGTGTACTATTTGTCAAAGAAAATGGAAGATGAAGATGTGTTAAATATTGCAAATCCAATTGTCTACAATGAATCTATTGCTCACTATGAGATTCATGCTCATCTACCATATGCCTCAGCAACATTTAATAACAGTGATGAAATAAGAATAGCTGTACAAAATCAGGATCATTGTGTGTTGCCAAGCAAAAGTTGTTTGCATATTCAAGGAAAATTAGTAAAAGAAAACGGATTACCAGTTATACATACTAGATTTGTCAACAATGCCATCTGTCATCTGTTTGAAGAAGCTCGTTATGAACTTAACGCTATCGAAATTGATAAAACTAAAAATGTTGGTCTTACAACTCTCATGGAAAATTACGTTTCAGTCTATGGAGTTCAAAGTAAATTTTTAGAAAACGCTGGTTGGTTTTCGACTTGTAACGCAAATACTGTTCTTGTTAATAACCTTGGAAATTTTGATATTTCAATACCATTTAATATTCTATTTGGCTTTGCTGAGGACTACCAAAAAATTATTGTTAATGCAAGGCATGAATTAATTTTAACCAGAGCAAGAATTGATGTGAATGCGATTCTGCAGACAGGTGAAGAACAAATTAGAGTATCCATTAATAAAATTTAATGGTTATTACCTAATGTTCGCTTGTCTGATTCACGTAAATTCAAATTACTAAAATATATTGAGAAAGACCCACTTATTCCAATTAGCTTTCGAACGTAGGAACTCTATGAATATCCTTTACTACCACAGGCAGCCAATCATGTCGGGACAGTTAAAACATCAACACAGTTGGAAAAACCTCGTTTCATAATTTTAGGTTTTCAGACAAATCGAAAAAATGTTAATAATAGAAATGCTAGTCATTTTGATCATTGTCAAATTACAAATGTTAAATTATTTTTAAACAACCAAAGTTATCCATATGGAAATTTGAATTTAGATTTTGATAAACGACACTATGCAATTCCTTATGATATCTATACCAATTTCCAAGCGAGCTATTACAATAAGGAACAGCAACCATATTTGTCAAAAAATGAGTTTCTTGAATATGCTCCACTTATAGTAATTGATTGTTCAAGACAAAATGAGTCAATAAAATACGGCCCTGTTGACATTCGTCTTGAATTTGAAGCAAAGGAAAATTTACCTGACCAAACAGCAGCTTATTGTCTTATTTTACATGATAGAATTGTTGAGTACAGACCAATTAGTGGTGAGGTTAAAGAAATTGTTTGAAAAAATTATATAAATTAATTAATATTTTTAATAACATATTCAGTTTTCAGAACAATGGCATACATTGTAGATGTGCAATGTTTTAAATTACCTATTAACGAATTTATTATAAAAGAATTAGCTATTTTACCGCTTGAAAAAAATTGTCTACAACCATACAAATTCATTTTTCAACCTCCATGTGATTGGAACTGTATTTCACCACATTACAAAACAATGAATAAGTTGTTGGAAAATAATTTACATTGTATAAATTGGTCAACTGGTGATATTCCATATACATTACTTCCCATTATATTAGAGACTGTTTATAAAAATGCAACTCTAATTTATGTAAAGGGTTCAGAAAAAAAGAAGTGGTTAAAAAGCTTTCTTAAGCCATCTACTGTAGTTATAGATATGATGATATGTTCATCGCTTCAAACACTAAAACATGATGCAAATAATATTAAACCATGTTATAATCATCGCAAAATAATTGATATAGATTTAATTCAATGTGCGGAGCGAAATGTAAAACTATTATCAGAGTGGTTGTCTAAAAACTCTAGCAATAAGTTTTCTTAAAAAGAAAAATGTAAAAAATTGTATTCTTATTTTTAATAAAATAAAATTTAAAATAGTCTTATATCATTTATTTATAAAAACGCTATTATTTTGATTGAAATGTTAATTTATTATAAAAAAAGAAAAAATTACTTTAAAGTAGTTTCAACTTTATTCATAGTTGATAAGTCTTTATTTTAATATTTAAGAACTGAAAACAGAAATTAAATAAGTAAATGAATAACGTTTCTATCTCCAAGCGTTATTCGAGTCATTTTTTAGTTTATAGGTGCGTAGAAGTAGTGATGGGCGGCCGGGGTCTGAGCACGTGTTGATGAAGCGGGGGAGGAAAGTATGATGAGTAACTCAATCTTAAGACGTAAGTGCAGCGAAAGGGGTGACAAAAGTATATGAGGAAGCGGAGGACGGACGAGGATAGCTGAGCGTACTATATAAAAATATAGCCTGCTATGAGACTTGTATATCATATGCTTTTGCGAGGATTTTATTTAATATAGATATTAAATATAATTAAATTGTAAAAAAAAATTAAATTAGTTGAATTAATATTTATTTTTTTAATTTTAAATATGCTTAATATAAAGTATTAATATTTATTACACTTTTAAATCATTTAAATTTACCGACAGATTGGCTCAGTCGGATAGATGCCTAGCGTTGGTGGTCGTTTAAGGACCAAGGGTATAAGTACCCTTGGTTCGCGCCCACTTGGCTTGGTATTTTTCCGGCACGTGAGACAATCTGAGCGGGAGGTTTGACGTCGAGGTATAATGATGTGCACCGTCGATTATTGTCCGGTACACACCATTAGAACTCGACTGTCGATAAACCGGTTGTACTCAGGAGAGGTTTTCTACAGTTTCCCTCTTCTCTGGCGAGAAAACCCATTGACGGGTGGTCCAGGCGTAATGTGAGTACTCCTAGTAAAGTCGGCTGTAGACGCAAATTAGGTTAATATATAGAAAATTTCTAAGTAGAATGGTTATGCTTAATCCAAAAAAGTATTTCTCGGGGACTCTTGTCGAAGTGCGTAAGGCCAATAGGGCAGGAGTATAAACAATAAAAAAAAAATTATTTAAATTTCTTTGATAAATTGTTGATAAAATTTTTTAAAGACAATCTAAATTTTATATTATATTTATTTATTATAAGTTAAATATATAAAACAAACAAAATTATATTACTCTAATTTAATTTAAAATAGCATAAATATAATTTAAATTTTATAGTTATGTAACCTGATTGTAACAGTTTTGTAACCTAATTGTTACAATTATGTGATCTAATTGTTTCAGTTATGTGACCTAATTGTTACAGTTATTTGATCTAATTGTTACAGTTTTGTAATATAACAAAAGAATTAGGTCACATAACAAAAGAATTAGATCACATTACTGTAACAATTAGGTCACATAATTATAACAATTAGATCAAATAACTGTAACAATTAGATCACATAATTGTAACAATTAGGTCACATAATTATAACAATTAGATTAAATAACTGTAACAATTAGATCACGTAATTGTAACAATTAGGTTACAAAACTGTTCCAATTAGGTTACATAACTGTAACAATTAGATCACAGTTATAATTTAAAATTAACATTTTCAATTGTTACATAACAGAACTGTATATATGGGCAATTCCACGGGAAATTTTTCTACGACATTTTAGAATCGGTTAAACATATTTTTTTATCGTTCTTGATAGAAAAATATTAAATACGTATTTTTTTATTGTTCCATATTTGCCAAAATTTTCGAGTTATGAATTTTCGAAATTTTTGATTTTTAAAAGTAGTCCCATTTTCAATAGCTTATAACTTTGAAAATATTGAGTTTGGAAAAAAGTTGTCAAAGGAAGAAAGTTTTGGTTTTTCTTTAACTTTTAAAAGATTTTAAAAAAAAATTTTTTTTTCAATTTTTAATAAAAAAAATTTTTTTTTTTTATAAACAAATTAATTTTTTTTAAATTTTGGCGCGATTTTTTTTTATTTTTTTTTATTTATTTATACCTACTAATATACAGACAAATTTCCAAAAAGATTCAAGATGGGCCGACTCATAGTTTTCGTTCTATAAATTTTTTAATTAATTTGTTTGTAAAAAAAAAAAAATTTTCTTAAAAATTTAAAAAAAAATTTTTTTTTTAAATTACATAAAAGTTAAAGAAAAACCAAGATTTTCTTTTTCTGACAAGTTTTTTTTAAACTCAAAACTTTCAAAGTTACAAGCTTTTAGACTTATAATTCACAGTTTTTGTTCTATAAAAAATTTATGGAACGAAAACTACGAGTCGGCCCATCTCGATTCTTTTTGGAAACTTTTCTGTATATTAGTAGGTATAAATAAATAAAAAAAAATAAAAAAAAATCGCGCCCAAATTTAAAAAAAATTAATTTGTTTATAAAAAAGAAATTTTTTTTTATTAAAAATTGAAAAAAAAAATTTTTTTTTAAATCTTTTAAAAGTTGAAGAAAAACCAAAACTTTCTTCCTTCGACAACTTTTTTCCTAACTCAATACTTTCAAAGTTATAAGCTATTGAAAATAGGTCTACTTTTAAAAATCCAAAATTTCGAAAATTCATAACTCGAAAATTTTGGCAAATATGGAAAAATAAAAAAATACGTATTTAATATTTTTCTATCAAGAACGATAAAAAAATATGTTTAACCGATTCTAAAATGTCGTAGAAAAATTTCCCGTGGAATTGCCCATATATTAAATTACATTATTTCCTATGTTAAATTCAAGGTGTTCAAAAAATTTTCTTAGTAGTTGTTGTTGATTTATTTTAATTTTAAACTTTATTAATTTTAATGATTTGCAGGTTTTTTGTTTAAATAAGTTTTCACCACTTTAATAAACACTGGTAATTTATTTAATTGGTAAACAAAAAAATACAATACTTTAATTATTATTATTTATAATTTTAGAAAATATAATTTTAGTTTTAAATAACGTTTAATTAAAGGATTTTTAATACAATTTCGGATTGAAAAATATAAATATAAAGACTCTGTGCGAGCACATGTTTTCGAGAGCAAAACTCGGAAGTAAAAGAGTGTGATTTCTAAATTTTGAATATGCGCAACTCGACTTTTATCAAGAACGATGGACTTGATGTAAATCGGGTTGTCAATGAAAAGGCATATAGAATTAAATGAATTTAGTTTTTAGAATTAACACAAAAAACTGTTTAAATTCTGAACATTCTGTCCGGGTTGCGTTTATCAACGCAAAAATTATAACAAAATAAAAATTTTAAGTTTTACATAAAAACAAAAGAAAAAGCGTAGATATAGTTACATTAAGCATCGTCGTTGGAGATTGGTACGGGAAGGATTGATGGATTCGACCCATCAACCATTGAGTAGGAGGCAAGTTGTCCTCTTTGATCAAAACTACGTCTCCAACTTTCACTGTGTTCGTTTCCACTAGCCATTTGGATCTTTGTTGGAGGTGGTGAAGATACTCTCGTGACCATCTCATCCAGAATTCATATCTCATTTTTGTTACTAATTTCCAACGTTGATTAGGTTGAAGCATCACTTGATTGAGAGTAGGTTCTGGAACAGCAGTAACAGGTCCACCTGTTAAAATGTGTCCTGGCGTAATTGCTGAAACAGACTGAGCGTCAGAAGTGTCAGGGTAGAGGGGACGAGAATTAAGACAAGCCTCAATTTGACAAAGAACAGTCGACAACTCTTCGAAGGTAAGTCGAGTCTCACCAATGACTCTTCGCAGGTGATGTTTAACCGATTAAACTCCTGCCTCCCAAATTCCTCCGAAGTGAGGGGAGTGTGGAGGAATAAAGGAACACGTGGTTCCTTGAGTAGCGAGTACCTCGGCAACTCTGGGAAAAATACTTTTTGCGCCAGAGAAAAGTGCCTTCAATTCTCTTTCAGCGCCAACGAAGGTTCGGGCATTATCACTAAAAACCTTGATACACTGACCACGACGTGAAGTGAATCGATTAAATGCACCTAAAAAGGTTTTTGTTTCAAGATCGGAAACCAATTCAAGGTGAATGGCTCGTGTAGAAAGACAGACGAATAGGCAGAGATAGCCTTTAGTTGATTTGATGCCTCGACTTTTCGAGGGAAGAACTCTAATGGGACCAGCGTAGTCAAGACCAGTGAAAGTGAACGGTTTTGATACGGTGATTCTTTCAACTGGCAGCTGACCCATGAGTTGAGTTGGTGTTACGGTACGAAATCGAGCGCATTTAACACAGTCTCGAACGATTTTGTTGATGAATGTCTTCTCACTGATGATCCAGAACTTTTGAAGAACTCTGCTCAAAGTGAGCTGCTGACCTCCGTGCAAGCACTCAGAATGAGCTTTTAGGACAATTAGTTTTGAGAAACGAGAATTTTTGGGTAAAATTATCGGGTGTTTTTCGTCATAAGATAAAAATGAATTCTCCAGGCGACCTGTAACTCGGAGGATTGAATTTTGATCCAAAAATAGAGTTAGCTTTAACATAAGATGTTTAGAGGGTAGGCGTCGACCGGCTTCCAAGGTATTTCTAACTTGACTGAAATGTTCATTTTGGACTAATACAATCCAGGCATTAAGTGATTCTTTCAGGTCATCAGAGGTAAGGTAAGTTGGTAAGTCAACAGTTCGATCTCGTAGTTTCCGTACGAAACGAAAACAGTAGGCTGTAACTCTGACGAGTTTGGACAACGATGAAACTCTTTCTAATAAGTCAGGGTCTTGAACTTCTCATAAGAGACTGATCTGAGCATTTTCATCCTCTTTCAGAAACTTAGATCTAACTTCCAGATTGCATTCGGTTTTAACTACATGATTGGAAACAGGCCAACGTTCAGGATCTTCGATCAGCCATTCTGGTCCATGCCACCAGAGAGAAGATTCATGAAGTTCTTGTACCGTGAATCCTCTCGTTGCACAATCAGCAGGATTGTATTCTGAGCGAATATGCGACCAAGAAGCATCTTTCAAAACTCAATGAATTTCACTCACCCGATTAGGGACAAAAGGTTTCCATCTTGATGGATGACCTTGAAGCCAAGATAAAACAATTTGCGAGTCTGACCAGTAATATATTAATTGGATTGAGGTTAGTAGTTTTTCGATGATGATTGCAACTAGTTTAGACAAAAGATGAGCAGCACAAAGTTCCAACTTGGGAAGAGAAATTGCTTTGACTGGTGCCAACTTTGTTTTCGAAATAAGAAGATGGGAATGTGCAACATCCGTAGATCGATCGACTAAGAACAACACTGCAGAATAAGCTCTCTCAAAGGCATCAGCGAAACCATGGAGCTCCCAATTGGACTGATCATCGTTGGTTTGAATGTATCGAGGAATCTTAATCATGCCGAGCTGGTTAAACTGTTTTTGGAAATCACTCCACTTAATCTGAAGAGTTTCAGGAAGAGTTGCATCCCAATTAATTCCAGCCAACCAACAATCTTGAAGAAGAATTTTAGCTGTGAGCAAGAATGGTGACAACCAACCTAATGGGTCAAAAAGTTTTGCGATTTCAGAGGCGACCATTCGCTTTGTTGGATTTGATAACAAGATAGGTGTTATTTCGAAATGGAAATCATCAGAGGTTTGATTCCAGCGCAGACCTAGTGTGGACACTGAATTTTCGAAATCAAATGCCTTATCGGATTTTATTTTTTCATTACTATTATCTGGAAGTAAAGCGTTATCATTGGCGGCCCATTTACTAAGTGTGACTCCACAAGAAGCTAGGATATTGACAAGATCATCTCTTATTTCAATGGCGTGTTGTAAAGAATTTGCACCGGGATAAATATCATCAACGTAAGTATTTTGGAGTAAGACTTCAGCACCTAATGGGAACTGTTCCCTTTCATCGTTAGCCAGTTGTTGACGAACTCGAATGGCTAGAAAAGGAGCAGGTCTAGTGCCGTAAGTGACAGTAGTTAGATTGTATTCCTGAAAGGGTTGGCTTGGATCAGGTCTCCAAACGATTCGTTGCAAGTTGCAATTGGAAGACACGATTCTTATTTGCCTAAACATTTTAACAATATCGGCAGTGAACACGAACTTCCAAAACCTCCAGCGACTGATGATGAGCCAAATGTCTGGTTGCAGTTTCTGCCCGGGGTGCAGGATATCATTAAGAGACACGCCGGAACTAGTTAGAAAAGAACCGTTAAATACTACTCTGAATTTTAACAGAAGATCATTAAAAATCACATGGTGTGGGAGATAGTTAGGCTTAGGGTAGTTTTCATCTTTTGAAGAAACAGGCTCCATATGATTTAATGAAAGATTTAACTTTGGTAACTGGATCTTTCGTGAGTTGAGTTTCGTTTCTTTTAAACATGGAAACAACAGCTTCCTTAGATCGACCTAATAGATCAGGTGATTAGAGTTTAGGTAGTTGAACTACATATTGACCTTTGTCGTTTCGATAATGGGTATCTCGGAAAATATTCTCGCATTCGATCTCTTCCTTTGTGAGAAAAGTAGTTTTGGGTAATTCTTCTAATTCCCAGAAGCTGCGAAGTTGTTGATTAAAAGATTCTTTTTCTTCAACATGAAGAACAGAAGCAGAATTCTCAGAATCATGTGAAGACAACGATCCACCAAAAATAATCCAACCAAAGGGAGTAAGTAATGCTGTAGGACTATCAAGCGGACCCTTTTTCAATCTTGGTAAGAGAATATGACCGAGAAGATCGATTCCAAGAACACAATCTATAGGTTCGGAAATGTGATAATTGGGATCAGCAAGGTCAAGATCTTTAAGATGTGGCCACTTACTATGCCTAGGTTTGATTTTAGGCACCATTTGAATTAATGATTTGAGAACAAGAGCATTAAGCGGGAGTTTAAACTCCAAATCCTTAGGTGATTGTAACCAGAGATTGACCTTGTAGTTTGCAGATCCCAATGATGAATTGCCAATACCTTTAAGAGTGACATCACATTTCAATTTTGGTAACTTAAGCAGTTGAACTACTCGTTCAGTTATTAGGGTTCGTTCGGAACCAGAGTCTAAGAAACCCTTTACGATGATTGACTTGCCGTTAAACGAGGTCAATTTAACATAAGTAGAGGCAAAGATGCCGTTGGGACGACTGTTTTGATTTTCAGAGAGATGATTGCACTGGTATGAAGCATGACTGTTGCTCTGCTCCGAGAAAGAAGTGCTTGGCGCAGGGTTAGAAATTTTTGCAGTTTGCTTTGCTTGAACACTATCATGAAGAAAAGTATGATGGTGTGAGTTACAGACAAAGCATCTTTTCTGCGAAGGGCAGTCTTCCAATTTATGATTGCCTCTCAGGCAATTGAAGCAAAGTTTTAAGTTTTTGACTTGCTCAAGTCTTTGTAAAACTTTCAATTTCTTAAACTGAGGGCAATAAGATATAAAATGTGAAGATTGACAAATAGGGCAAAGTTTAGATGAGGAAGAAGTTGAGGTGACAGTATCAGTTTCAGAAAGATTAACTGAAACAGTTGATTTCTTCCCTTTCATAGTCTGAGGTTTAGGTGTGTTACTGGAAGAGTTTTGACTTGGATAATAGGCTTCCAATGCTCTAACAGTAGTTTCAAGAAAAGAGGATAGATCTTCATAACTAGGAAATTCTTCAGAGTCCCTTAAAGAAGTTTCCCAGTCTTCTCTAGTGCATGGATCAAGTTTATGCACCAGAAGATGAACAAACCAATCATCCCATAGTTCAACGGGTCGATCCATGTTAGTAAAAGCTCGAATTGATTCGTTGGTAGCATCCAAGAGACGAAGAATCTCATCAACGGATCTCTTGGAGGCAGTTGGGCAAGAAAGAAGTTTTCGCATATGTGCTGCTAACAGAGTACGTTTATTGTCATAACGTTTCACTAACATTGTCCAGGCTTCAGTATAGTTAGTCTCGTTAACTGTAAGATTTTTTATTCTTTCCGCGGCATCACCGATTAAAGAGGACTTTAAGTAATATAGTTTTTAAACGTTAAAAATTTTTGTTTTATCTACCATGGCAGTAAAGAGATCTCTGAAGGTTTCCCACTCTAATTGATTCCCTGAAAATTTGGGTAAAGTTAAAGCAGGTAAGTGTTTATAAACATGATCAGAAAAATGATTACCTTGATTTCGAACTTGAATATTTTCTGCAGGAGGTGTAGGTGGTTTTATTAACTTTTGAATTTCCCTCAAAATGGATGCTCTCGCTACCATGTAGTCCTCCTCAATAATTTCGAAATGTGATTGGGTCACATATTCAGATGTTGCACTTTCGGAATGAATGATGATTTTCCAGTGTAGTTCACAGCAATCCTTCCAATAAGTATCCAGGGTTGTAAGTCGAGTTTCCAGATAATTAATTGGACTTTCTTTTGCTATGACAGATTTGCAGGTATCGTTCTAATACTTGTTGATCCGTTTAGCAAGATCCTTTTGTTTCACGAGTTCATCCATGTTGTCAGATTCCAAGGTCAAGTAGTACCGAAAAAAAGAGTTTTATTAAGTTTCGGTTTTATTTTACAAATTAAAATAAAACGAGCAGAACGAAATTTGAAAAAGGAAGTTTAGTTAAGCTAAGCCTTGAAAGCTTTAAATGCATCAAGCATCTTAAAGGTACTCTACTATTCCCCTCAAGGTACGCAATACACTTGCAAGGCAGAAAAAAGCAGGTGAAAAGATAATTTTCATGCTCGTATTAAATTAATTGCAAAATGCTCGAAATGACATGTAAGAATAGCGAATTTAATTAAGGCAAGCAAGCATTATAAAGCATTTGTTCGTTCAAAATAGAGAATTACAAAAAAGATGTAAAATTACTTACTCATATTTTTGAAAATATAATAATTGCATCATACTTAAGTTCCTTTAAATGAATTGAATTGACTCACAGTGAACTGGTGTGTTGATATTTGTTGAACACAGGTTAGATTCATTGAAACACGTTTTTAAGTTAAATCGTAAGAAGCACAAAATCGTTTAAAAATCCGGCTCGAAGGACCATTAATTATGTTCAAGAAATTTTCTTAGTAGTTGTTGTTGATTTATTTTAATTTTAAACTTTATTAATTTTAATGATTTGCAGGTTTTTTTGTTTAAATAAGTTTTCACCACTTTAATAAACACTGGTAATTTATTTAATTGGTAAACAAAAAAATACAATACTTTAATTATTATTTATAATTTTAGAAAATATAATTTTAGTTTTAAATAACGTTAAATTGAAGGATTTTTAATACAATTTCGGATTGAAAAATGTAAATATAAAGACTCTGTGCGAGCACATGTTCTCGAGAGCAAAACTCGGAAGTAAGAGAGTGTGATTCCTAAATTTTGAATATGCGCAACTCGACTTTTATCAAGAACGATGGACTTGATGTAAATCGGGTTGTCAACGAAAAGGCATATAGAATTAAATGAATTTAGTTTTTAGAATTAACACAAAAAACTGTTTAAATTCTGAACACAAGGTTAAATGTTTTATTCCGTAGATATAAAAAATTCAAGAATTAATTTTTTTAATTAAATTCTGTACTAATATTTTAAAGATCAAGGTTTAATAATTCAAAAAATATATTCATTAATATAAAAATATATTTATGCACAACTTTCTTCAACACATTTCTAAGACAACTATTTTTCTAAACTCTAGGCATCGATTTTTGTGAACACATAATTATTATTTATTGTTGTTAATGCGCAAAAAACATTATCAATTTTTAATATAATTTTTGGCTCATATTTCAAAGTCATATATTTTTCAATATATTGGTCAACAGAAAAATTTAATACAGGCAAAAGAAAATCTAAGTCATAATTAATAAACCATTCTGCGGGTACAGATATAGCACTTTGTATAATATCTGGGAAAGCCAGGTCGAACGAAACAAAATTCACCATTTACTAAATTTAGTTTTGCTGTAACTTCACCAATTTTCAAAGATACGTCCGGTTCTGCATTCATTTCCAAATAAAGTTCCACAAAATAGTCGACGGTTTTATTAACTGTTTCCAAAAGTTCTTTATGTCGGAAGGAACTGCACCACTCACTCAGAATCACAATTGTAGGCTGGACTTGGTTGTAAACTGGAGTTGCCATTTTTTTTAACTGCAAACAAATTAAATAATCAAAATTTAACTATTTTTTCACAATACACTGTAATACTCTAAAAAAAATGTTATTGCACAGCAAGATTTGAAAATAGTTTTATAATATTTTTATACAAATCTTGATGAAACAATAATTTTTTTCTATAAGGATACATAATTATTTATTTAAGCAAACTTTACATGCCTCAATAAGAAGTGACACAAAACTGAAAGAAATCTCTTCTTCAACATTGTCTTCATGTACATTGTTTAGTCTACTGTCCTCCCTTTTTACCAGTCTTCTTGAAATGTTTAGAAAATTTTTTATATAAAACCTTTGACGTTGGTCTGCTGAATTGTTGAAATTTATCCCACTTCTTATCAGCTGAACAGCTAGAAGAGACAATTCTTTATTCCTAAAGTATAAGCATATCTTGAAATCAACACTTTTGTCTTACTTAACTTTGGACATTAATATATATAATAAATTAAAGAAGAAAATACTCACACTTTTTATGACTTGGACAATTTTTCATCATGGTGCATTGTAACCCCAAGGAAGTGTGTCTGTTTTTCCAGGCAGCAAGACTCGTTTATCATCTTGACAGTTGAGAACAACTTTACTTTGTTTAAAAGTGTAAACATCATGTTTTCTACTTTTAATAAAGTACTGTTTTTGGATCAAGTTTTCAGATTTTTCGAGAATGTGCTTATAATCATCAAACTCTATTCTTTTTAATGTTAAAAATTTTACACCTTTTGCTTTCTTTTGAACCTCTTTATTATCACCCCATAATTTAAAAGCATACAATTTTGATCTCAAACCTATAAATTCAGCTACAATTTTACCATTATTTTCATCTTTCATAAGACCTAGAACTTTTTTATTTACAAGAGGAATATTATAAATATTGTTCTCAGGATAATCAGATGTGTCAAATTTATGTAAATCTCGTCTTATATAATCATAGATATTTGGTACTGTGAAATAATAAATAAGACTATCAGTATCAGTATACAGTAATCTTGCATTATCATTAAAAGTCTTTTTAATATAATTATAATGAAAGTCGTATATTATAATTTTTGAAATATCTAAAATTGTGAATCCTGTGTAAATTGGTTTATTAAACGTAACTTTTGTTTTATTCATTTCAATGATAACCATATCTTTATCGAATACAATACAGCTATGGAAATTTGGTTG